CCTCCCACGTCCTCGCCTGCTCCTGCTTCCTCCATGTCACCCGAGGCTGCTCCCTCCACTTCTCTGCCCCTGACTTCTTCCCTCCTCACCCCGGGCCTGCTGAAGACCACAGATATGGCGGCCATGGACTCAGGAGCCCAGACCAGCTCACCTCCGTCTCTGAGCAGTTTCTCACCTTCATTCCTGGCCACCGCTAGAGAGACCACAGGAACACGGAGCATGCCTCCTTCCTCACCAAAGGCGGCAACCCATGTGGGCACCGCCACTTCTGGACTGGGACACCCAACCTCTCTGCTGGCTACCTTGCAGGCCATGGAAGCCACATCCACAGTGGGCGCCTCCTACACGGTGGGGCAGGAGCGAGTTTCGACACCAACCGCTGCCTTCCCCAGCACCGGGAGCGCTCACACACAGCCGGCGTCCCCAGTCAGCCCTGGGCTCAGCGAGTCCAGCACCCCAGAGGACACCAGCTCGGGCTTAGGGACAGGCACTGTACCTGTGCAAGGTCCCACTGGCACTCCCACTCAGATCTCCAGGACACAAGGCATCTCCTCCATCCCCACGTCCACCCCACAGCCTGCTGGGTCCACAGGGCCCACAACATACGACGTCTCCACAGAAAACATTCCCCACCTCGGGACCTCCACCATCACCTCTGGCTCAGCGGAAGCGACCATCACCAGCCCAACAGGTCCATCCGGGTCCACTTCACAGACCTCCCCGACCTTGGCTTCGGGGACCAGCTCCACACAGGCCACAAGGCCCTCGGCTGGGAGCCTGGGATGGCCTCACTCAGAGGGGACCACCTTCACGAGCATGAAGCCCAGGAAGGTGTCAGGGGCCACACGTCCCTCTCTGGAGGAAACCAGCTCTGTCTCCTCCCTGCTGCCCTCCTACCCTCCCACATCCTCGCCTGCTCCTTCTTCCTCCATGTCACCCGAGGCTGTTCCCTCCACTTCTCTGCCCCTGACTTCTCCCCTCCTCACCCCGGGCCTGCTGAAGACCACAGACCTGGCGGCCACGGGCTCAGGAGCCCAGACCACCTCACTTCCATCTCTGAGCAGTGTCTCACCTGCATTCCTGGCCACTGCTAGAGAGATCAAGGGCACACAGAGCATGCCTCCTTCCTCACCAAAGGCGGCAACCCATGTGGGCACCACCACCTCCAGACTCGGACACCCGACCACATTGCAGGCCACGGAAACCACGTCTGCAATGGGTGGCTCCTCCCCCGTGGGGCAGGAGCGAGTTCCCACACCAACCGCTGCCTTCCCCAGCACCGGGAGCGCTCACACACAGCCGGTGTCCGCCGTCAGCCCTGGGCTCAGCGAGTCCAGCTCCCCGGAAAACACCAGCTCAGGCTCGGGGCCAAGCACTGCCCATGCTCTAGGGCCCACCGGCACTCCCACTCAGGTCTCTGGGACACAAGGCATCTCTTCCAGCACCATGTCCACCCCACAGCCTGCTGGGTCCAAACTGTCCACAACATCTGACCTGTCAGCCGAAACCATCCCCGGGTTCCAGACCTCTACCACCACGCCTGGCTCTGCAGAAGTGACCATCACCAGCCCAACAGGTCACTCCGGGTCCACTTCACAGGCTACCCCGACCTTGGCCACGGGGAACACTTCCGCCCAGGAGGCAAGGACCTCGGCTGGGAGCCAGGGATGGCCTCACTCAGAAGGGGCCACCCTCCCAAGCAAGAGACCAGGGAAGGTGTCAGGGGCCACACGTCCCTCTGTGGAGGAAACCAGCTCTGTCTCCTCCCTGCCGCCCTCTTCCCCTCCCACGTCCTCGCCGGCTCCTGCTTCCTCCATGTCACCCGAGGCTGTTCCCTCCACTTCTCTGCCCCTGACTTCCTCTCTCCTCACCACGGGCCTGGTGAAGACCACAGATGTGGCGGCCACGGACTCAGGAGCCCAGACCACCTCTCCTCCATCTCTGAGCAGTGCCTCGCCTCCATTCCTGGCAACCACTAGAGGGACCATAGGCACACAGAGCATGCCTCCTTCCTCAGACATGGTGGTGACCCTTGTGGGCACCACCTCTTCCAGACTCGGACACAAGACCACATTGCAGGCCACGGAAATCACTTCCACAGTGGGCACCTCCTTCCCCATGGGGCAGGAGCGAGTTTCCACACCAACCGCTGCCTTCCCCAGCACCGGGAGCACTCACACACAGCCGGTGTCCGCCATCAGCCCTGGGCTCAGTGATTCCAGTACCCCGGAGGACACCAGCTCAGGCTCCGGGACAAACACTGTGCTTGCACAAGGGCCCACCGGCACTCCCACTCAGGTCTCCGGCACACAGGGCATCTCCTCCAGCGCCACGGCCACCCCACAGCCTGCTGGGTCCATAGGGGCCACAACACCAGACGTCTCCGTAGAAACCATCACCAGGATCTGGATCTCCGCCACCACGCCTGGCTTAGTGGAAATGACCATCACCAGCCTAGCAGGTCCCTCCGTGTCCACTTTACAGACCACCCCGACCTTGGCCACGGCGACCACCTCCACCCGGGAGGCAAGGCCCTCGGCTGTAAGCCAGGGATGGCCTCACTCAGAGGGGACCACCCTCATAAGTAGGGAGCCCGGGAAGGTGTCAGGGGCCACACGTCCCTCTGTGCAGGAAACCAGCTCTTTCTCCTCCCTGCTGCCCTCTTCTGCTCCCACGTCCTCGCCTGCTCCTGCTTCCTCCATGTCACCCGAGGCTGTTCCCTCCACTTCTCTGCCCCTGACTTCCTCCCTCCTCACCCCAGGCCTGCTGAAGACCACAGATGTGGCCACCATGGGCTCAGGAGCCCAGAGCACCTCACCTCCGTCTCTGAGCAGTGTCTTGCCTGCATTCCTGGCCACCACTAGAGAGACCACAGGCACACGTATCACCCCTCCTTCCTCAGACATGGGAGCGACCCACGTCGGTACCGCCACTTCCGGAATTGGACACCAGAGCTCTCTGCCCGCTTCCTCCGCCGTCAGCCCTCGGCTCAGCGACTCCAGCACAGCAGACGACATAAGCACTGGCTCAGGGACAAGCACTGTCCCAACAGAAGGCCCGACCAATGCTCTCATTCAGGTCTCCGGGACACAAGGCATCTCCTCCAGCGCCACGTCCACCCCACAGCCTGCTGGGTCCACAGGGACCACAACACCGGGCAGCTCTACGAAAACCATCACCCGGCTCTGGACCTCCTCCATCACCCATGGCTCAGCGGAAGCGACCATCACCAGCCCAACAGGTCACTCCAGGTCCACTTCACAGGCTACCCCGACCTTGGCCACAGAGACCACTGCAGCCAAGGAGTCAAGACCCTCAGGTGGGAGCCAGGGATGGCCTCACTCAGAAGGGGCCACCCTCACGAGCAGGGGGCCTGGGAAGGTGTCAAGGGCCACACGTCCCTCTGTGCAGGAAACCAGCTCTGTCTCCTGCCTGCTGCCCTCTTTTCCTTCCACGTCCTCGCCTGCTGCTTCTTCCTCCATGTCACCCGAGGCTGTTCCCTCCACTTCTCTGCCCCCGACTTCTTCCCTCCTGACCCCGGGCCTAGTGAAGACCACAGACGTGGCGGCCACGGGCTCAGGAGGCCAGACCACCTCACCTCCGTCTCTGAGCAGTGTCTTGCCTGCATTCCTGGCCACTGCTAGGGAGACCACAGGCACACGGAACACCCCTCCTTTCTCTGACCCGGCGGCGACCCATGTGGGCACTGCCACTTCCGGACACGGACACCCGACCACATTGCAGGCCACGGAAATCATGTCCACAATGGGAATCTCCTCCACCATTGGGCAGGAGCGAGTTTCCACAGCAACCGCCGCCTTCCTCAGCACCGGGAACGCTCACACACAGCCGGCGTCCGCCGTTAGCCCTGGGGTCAGCGTGTCCAGCACCCTGGAGGACACCAGCTCAGGCTTTGGGATAAGCACTCTCCCTGCACAAGGGCCCACTGACACTCCTACTAAGGTCTCCCGGACACAAGGCATCTCCTCCAGCGCCATCTCCAGCTCACTGCCTGCTGGGTTCAAACTTTTCACAACACCCGAACTGTCACCTGAAACCATCCCCGGGATCTGGACCTCTACCACCATGCCAGGCTCAGTGGAGGTGACCATCACCAGCCCAACGGGTCCCTCCGGGTCCACTTCACAGGCTACCCCGACCTTAGCCTCGGTGACTACTTCCACGCAAGAGGCAAGGGCCTCTGCTGGAAGCCAGGTATGGCCTCACTCAGAAGGGGTCACCCTCACAAGCAGGGGGCCCGAGAGGGTGTCATGGGCCACACGTCCCCCTGTGCAGGAAACCAGCTCTGTCTCCTCCCTGCTGCCCTCTTTCCTTCCAACATCTTTGCCTGCTCCTGCTTCCTCCATGTCACGTGAGGCTGTTGCCTCCACTTCTCTGCCCCTGACTTCCTCCCTTCTCACCCTGGGCCTGCTGAAAACCACAGACGTGGCGGCCATGGGCTCAGGAGCTCAGAGCAGCTCACCTCCGTCTCTGAGCAGTGCCTCGCCTGCATTCCTGGCCACCTCTAGAGAGACCACAGGAACACGGAGTATGCCTCCTTCCTCACCAAAGGCGGCAACCCATGTGGGCACCGCCACTTCCAGACTCGGCCACCCGATCACATTGCAGGCCACGGAAATCACTTCCACAGTGGGCACCTCCTTCCCCGTGGGGCAGGTGCGAGTTTCCACACCAACTGCTGCCTTCCCCAGCACCGGGAGCGCTCACACACAGCCAGCGTCCGCCCACAGCCCTGGGCTCAGCAAGTCCAGCACCCTAGAGGACACCAGCTCAGGCTTGGGGACAAGCACTGTCCCTGCACAAGGGCCCACTGAAACTACTACTCAGGTCCCCGGAACAGAAGGCATCTCCTCCAGCCCCACGTCCACCCCACGGCCTGCTGGGGCCACAGGGTCCACAAAACCAGACGTCTCCGGGAAAACCATCACCAGGTCCTGGACTTCCGCCATCACCCAGGGCTCAACGGAAGCGACCATCACCAACCCAACAAGTCCCGCCTGGTCCACTTCACAGGCTACCCTGACCTTGGTCACGGAGACCAGCTCTGTCTGGGAGACAAGCCCCTCGGCTGGGAGCCAGAGATGGCCTCACTCAGAGGGGGCCACCCTCACGAGCAGGGGGCCTGGGAAAGTGCCAGGGGCCACACGTCCCTCTGTGCAGGAAACCAGCTCTGTCTCCTCCCTGCTGCCCTCTTCCGCTCCCACGTCCTCACCTGCTCCTGCTTCCTCCATGTCACCCAAGGCTGTTCCCTCCACTTCTCTGCCCCTAACTTCTTCCCTCCTCACCCCGGGCCTGCTGAAGACCACAGACGTGGCGGCCACGGGCTCAGGAGCCCAGAGCAGCTCACCTCCGTCTCTGAGCAGTGCCTCGCCTGCATTCCTGGCCACCACTAGGGAGACCACAGGCACACGGAGCATGCCTCCTTCCTCAGACACGATGGTGACCCACGCGGGCATTGCCACTTCTGGACACGGTCACCCGACCACATTGCAGGCCACGGAAATCACGTCCACAATGGGAACCTCCTCCACCATGGGGCAGGAGCGAGTTTCCACACCAACCGCTGCCTTCCCCAGCACCGGGAGCGCTCACACACAGCCGGTGTCCCCCGTCAGCCCTGGGCTCAGCGAGTCTAGCTCCCCGGAAAACACCAGCTCAGGCTCAGGGCCAAGCACTGTCCATGTTCTAGGGCCCACCGGCACTCCCACTCAGGTCTCTGGGACACAAGGCATCTCCTCCAGCGCCACGGCCACCCCACAGCCTGCTGGGTCCAAACTGTCCACAACATCTGACCTGTCAGCCGAAACCATCCCCGGGTTCCAGACCTCTACCACCACGCCTGGCTCTGCAGAAGCAACCATCACCAGCCCAACAGGTCACTCCGGGTCCACTTCACAGGCTACCCCGACCTTGGCCACGGGGAACACTTCCGCCCAGGAGGCAAGGACCTCGGCTGGGAGCCAGGGATGGCCTCACTCAGAAGGTGCCACCCTGACAAGCAGGGGGCTGGAGAGGGTTTCATGGGCCACACGTCCCTCTGTGGAGGAAACCAGCTCTGTCTCCTCCCTGCTGCCCTCTTCCCCTCCCACGTCCTCGCCTGCTCCTGCTTCCTCCATGTCACCCGAGGCTGCTCCCTCCACTTCTCTGCCCCTGACTTCTTCCCTCCTCACCCCGGGTCTGCTGAAGACCACACATGTGGCAGCCATGAGCTCAGAACCTGAAATCACTTCTACACTTTTCTCAGGCACCAAGTTTGAATTACATTCGACCTCCTCAGTCACCACACATTCTGGGAGCTCTCTTGTTTCTTCAAACACAACAATGGCCACTGTGCTCTCCTTTCCTTCCCATTATCAATCTCATTCCACTGTCTTAGCTGACTCTGAGGCAACCAGGGCCCCCTCTCCCATGGACACCACCCACACCTTTGGGAAGAAACATCTTTCATCGTCAAGTCCTGCCTCGTTGGAGACTAAGAGCATTCTGACGGGGACTTCTTCTTCACCGACCGCTGGATTTCGAGAGTCAAGTACCTCCAAGGAGACCAGCTTAGTCACAGTTGGTCTGGGAGTTGTCTCCGGGCCAAGCCTTCCCTCTTCACAAGAAACCCATTCTCCATCTTCTCTGATGTCTTCACCTGCCTCCAACTCACCTTCTCCTCTTTCCTCCACATTATCCATGGGCTCTCCCTCTTCTCCTCCTGTTACTTCTCTTCTTACCACGGGCCTGGTGAGGACTCCGGATGTGTTGGCCACAGGCTCAGAACCTGAAACCACTCCAGCTTCAAATTTGATCAGCACCTCAGCTGAAACACTGCCCACATCTGAAGTCACTACAGACATGGAGAAAACTCATTCTTTTTCAAACACAGCAGTGACCAAGTTGTGGACCAGCAGTTCTGGACAGGAACTATCTTCGTCTGTCCCAGTCCACTCTGGGCTATCCTATACTTCATATCCAGTCAGTACTGACGACTTCAGGGTAGACACTGGCATTTCCACAGCAAGGCCTGCCCGTTTTCAGACCACAGAGAGTGTTGAGTTGGGAACGCTGACCCGTGCTTATCAAGTTCCTCCACGTTCAACACAGTTGACAAGTAAGGACCCACAATCCCTATAATTCCCTTCTTGTTATCTCTTAGGAAATGACCCTTTTCCTAAGAGGTACAAAAAAAGGGGTGAGTTATGAGTTTATTCCTGTATCACTAATTCTTTTAGCAAATATTTGTGGGTCTAACTTCAGTTCCAGGCACTGGGCTCAGCACTGGGGAAACAAGAATAAATAAGCAAGTAGTTGAATCATTATAGTATCTTGATAGGTGCTCTAGTATTACTACTAGTGATGATGATGACAATAATAATATTCGTAACAGCGAATATTTATACAGCACTTCTTATGTGTCAAATGCTGCTTTATTAAGTTATTTGATACTCATTGTACACTATTTAGAGACTATTATAAGCCTATTTTGGAGTTGAAGAAATTCAGACACAGAGAAGTTAAATGATTTTCTTGAGATCATAAAGCTAGCAAGTAACAGAACTAGTGTAAGAACCACGTGTCATTAGGAATCCATGCTCCTAAGCCTAAGGAGGAGTGGCCAGAGAGGCAGCAGGAAAACAAGAGGTTCTCACATCGTAGGTGCCATAGGAGGGGAAAGTTTCAGGAAGGAGAAAGGTAAATTCTGTCAAATACTGCAGAACAGCCAAGTTAAAATGAGGTGAGCAGTGCTTTGGCAACATAGGGGTCTCGAGGCATTGTAGCTATGGGAGTACCAGTGAGGTTCAGGGCACTAAAAAAACATGGCTCACGCCTGTAATCCTAGCACTTTGGGAGGCTGAGGCGGGCGGATTGCTCGAGGTCAGGAGTTTGAAACCAGCCCGAGCAAGAGCGAGACCCCGTCTCTACTATAAATAGAAAGAAATTAATTGGCCAACTAATATATAGAGAAAAAATTGGCCGGGCATGGTGGAGGCTGAGGCAGTAGGATTGCTTGAGCCCAGGAGTTTGAGGTTGCTGTGAGCTAGGCTGATGCCACGGCACTCACTCTAGCTTGGGCAACAAAGCGAGACTCTGTCTCAAAAAACAAAACAAAACAAAAAAAAACCCCAGCTAATATAATGCATAGATGAGGAAGTGTTTCACCCTTTGAATTGAGTATGTTTCTATATTGAAAACAAGGGGTCAAAGCAAAGGATAAGTAAAAGAAAAGAGTGAGTGAATGAAAATTAAGGGAACAAAGTTCATGAATAGGCAAGAGGGACCCAGACCTCAGGAGGAAGAAACACTACTTCCAAGACATCAGCAGATGAGAGAAGGAACCTCTTGGCATTCCACTCCTCTGAAAGGGTTGACGTTGGCCCCAACTTTTATTCTGGACGCAAGTCCTAAGAGGTCCTCCAACTACTCAAGAAGCTCCTGCTTCCCTACATGATATCTACAGTGGGATTATTTGATCCCTCTGCCGCAGCTACTTTTACAATTCACAATAAGTTTACACGCATTTGCTGAATGTTAAGTCCCGTGTTAAAATGTAGCTCAGAAGTTGAGTCAGCGGTACTCAATAAGCAAGTGATGAGTGAGATGATGACAAAGCAGAAGTGTAGCTGGGTGGATAGAAGGATGAAAGGAAGAATGAAGAGATGGACAAATGGAAGAAAAGAAAGATGACGAGAAGGATTGCTGTATGGAAGGAAGAATGAAAAGGAAGGATGGATGGAAGGGAGGATTCAGGGAAACATAAATGAAAGGAAGGAAGGGAGGAAAGATGAAATGAAGTATGGATGATAGGAAGAAAGGATAAAAGGAAAAATAGATGGTTAGACCTAGGAATGAATAAAAGGGAGGACAGATGCCTATATGGGTAAGTAGATGGATCTATGGATGAGTGTAGCCACTTATGGCACATCCTGGCTCAAGTTCATACAGATGGATTGGAGAGGAGGAGTGTTGTGTGGCCGATTAACCGGATGCATTTAGACAGCACTCTTTTTCTAGATGAGATGAGTTACCCCAGTTTTCTTCTCCATCCTCACCTGCAGGAACCGATGACATGATGGAGCACATCACAAAGATACCCAATGGAGCGGCACATGAAGGCACCGTAGGACCAGTGAAGGGGCCTCTGGTGTCCACATCACCTGCTAGTCCTAGAGGTAGGTTCGACTTTGCTTGCTCCCCAAGAATTCCACTTGTGACCGTATTTCCTGCTGCACAGAGACAAAACGCTTGTTCTCTTTAGAGAGAGAATTGTGTGTGGTTGCCGAGGGTTTCCCTTTCTGAGCTGGATCTTTGTAAAGGTAAATGCTACCACCTTTCTGTCCCTCATAGCATGCTGAGTCAGCTTTGTTCAAAGTCAAGTAGGTCAACTTCATAAGTTTTATCTAGTGTCACTGAATCCTAAAAACACGTGTTAATAACTTAATATGTGTCAGAGAGTGTGCGCTATAAACTGAGGATGCACAGATTAAAATACTTTCCAATTGTACCCATGGAGCACTCAGTTCAGTGGGAGAGACATCAAAGGAACAAAATGATTATGAAGCAACTCTAAAAGTATCTGATGAAGATATACTGGAATTGTGGAAGGAAGGCTTCATGGAGGAGGTGATATTTGAATTGGGTTTTAAAGGATGAATAGGAGTTTACCAGGAAGACAGAGGGAGTTGATGAAGACATTCTGGATAGAGTCGAGAGCAGCATGCAAAGGTACAGAAAGAGGTGAAACCCAGGAATGTCTGGGAGGTAAAAATAATTCACAAACATGTTGCTGCTTCTTAGAGAGTAGTAGCATGCATATGCCTATTAAAGGCTTTGAGAAATCTTACTATAAAGAAACTTTCTCAGCTTTGTTCAACTTGGGGTTTAATGCAATTGTTTGACTATGTAATCTTTTGCCCAGAAAGGTACCTACTAACATTTCATATTATTATTGTTCTGCATGACAATTTAAGAGGCATAGGTACATACAATGAGGGATCTTGCTCACCAGGTGGCTAAAGGTACAGGTTTCCCGTACCCATTAAGTTACTCCCAAGTGGAGTCTAGACTATTTTACCAGCTCATTTTGGAGGATTTTGCAAGATCCAGGCTTTGGGCAGAGTCACCTCCACTCAGGTTATTAGTCTCGGTCTGTGACCCAAGAATCTTAGGTTGGGTCTCCCCAGAAGCAGACCTTGATTCATGGATGTAGGGACAAGTAGTTTATCTTAGGCAGGGGATCAAGCCAGGAAACACTGGTAGAAGAGACAGAAAAGAAAAGGAAAGTAAGTTAATGCAAGATGCATTCATGAGCAGGTCACAGTTGTGAGAGAGTACCATTCCCACCATGAACTTCTAGGAGGTAGCATAGAACACCTCAGCATTGTCCTAGCCAAGGGATGAGGTGGCTGGGATATTTATCATCTAATTCCCTTCTGTCACCAACCATGAGCTGCTTATTCCTGGAGGTGCTAACACCCAGCACTTCCATCCTGTCCCCGATGCAGGCTGAGTGAAAGCTCTTAGGTGTGGAGTCACAGGAGCTGTAGTAGGGACCCCCTGGAGTCACTATACTGCGACAGTGAGCGCTCGTGGAAAGTGAGTGGGGCATTGACAGCGTTGGCCACAGCTAGGTCTCTGGAGAAGGGTCACCGGGTTTCAGGTGATAACCAATATTGATATGGCCAAGTTTATGAGAGCTAGCCACCACTCCTTTTTCATATAGATCAGGGTTTCTCAACCTCCGCACAACTGATATTTTCAGCAGATAATTCTTCATGGCGGGGGGGCTGTCCTGGCCTCTACTCTAAATGCCAGTGGCACTTCCCCACACACACAGACACACAGCAGCTGTGACAACCAAAAATGTCTCCAGACATTGCTAAGTGTCTCCTGGGAACAAAACTGTCCCTGGTTTGGGAACCACTGAACTGGACTATGCTTGTTAAAGTACTTTCCTCCAGATAGACATTTTCTCCTCACTTCTTTCTCTTTCCATCATGCACCCCCTCCCCGCCCCTCAACAAGATCCTGAAATGCAATTAGGGAATTCATATTAAGCAGTGGTTAAGAGTATGTGTTTAGGGTTCAGAGAGAACCGTGCTCAAATTTCCACACCATGTGTCACGCCAAGGCTGGGTGGCCTTGGCAAATCACGACCTCTGAGTTTCTGTCATTTCCTCCCAATTCACACCCAGGAGGGACAGAAAGAGCTGAGACCACTGCCACAGCTCTGAAGACCACCTCCGCAGCCACACTGACCCCCAGAGCCCATGCTGCCACTTCAAGAACACTGACTCCTCTCAAGACATCAGCACGAGCGGCCACCACAAGCACAGCGGGAATGGTGATCACAACCCCACATGTTTCAGAGATGACATCCTCATTGGCCACCAGACTTGGAGCGGAGACCAGCACAGCTGTTCCCAGTATAATCCCATCTGTTTTCACTAGAGAACCAGAGCCCACAGCTTCACCTGCGCCCAGTTCTGGGGCAGAGACCAGTCCAACTGGTGCAACCGTTTCCTTTGGTGAGCCGGATACAACGGCCTCGTGGATGACCCACCCTGCAGAGACCACCTCAGTTATTTCCAAGGCAACACTGAACGTTCCCCGTAGTGAATCACATTCCACTCTCTCCACAGCCACCAGTCCTGGGGCAGAAGTCAGCTCAGCTGTTCCAAAGCCAGCCACCTCCCCCGGTATACCAGATACGGTGACCTCCCTGACTACCAGTGCCATAGCAAAGACAAGCATGGTTATTCCAACTCCCACAGACTCTCCCGATGAACCAGAGACCACAGCCTCAGGGGCTGCCCATCCCGCAGAGAAAAGCCCAAAGGTTCCCAAGACAATCCCAACTCTTTCCTATAATGAGTCAGACACCACAACTTCAATGGCCACCAGTGCTGGGGCAGAAGCCAGTTCCGCTGTTTCAACTATGGCTGTCTCACCTGGTGTAGCAGATACTGTAACCTCACAGGTCACTAGTTCTGGGACAGATGCTGATATGGCTCTTCCAACTCTGACTCTTTCTCCTGGTGAACCAGAGACCACAGCCTCGTTGGCTACCCACCTTGGGACACACACCAGTTCAGCCATTCCAACTCTGACTACCTTGCCTGGTGTGTCGGGGCTGGTGACCTCACTGGTCACTAGTTCTGGGGCAGGAACAAGTAACCCTGTTCCAACTATGACAGTCTCCTCAGGCCAACTGGATACCACAGCTTCACGGATCGCCCATCCTGGGGCAGAAGTCAGTTCAACTGATCCAACTCGGACTTTCCCCTTTGCTGAGCCAGATACAACAGCCTCATTGGTTCCTCATCCTGCAGAGACTAACACAACGGTTCCCCAGACAACTCCCAACTTTTTCCATAGCAAATCAGACACCACATATTCAACATCCACCAGTAGTGGGGCAGAAGCCAGTTCAGCTGTTCTAACTCCAACTGTTCCACCTGGGGTGCCAAGGGCAGAGACCTCTATGGTCACTAGCTCTAGGGCAGTGACCAGGACAAGTGTGCCAACTCTGAGTCTTTCTCCTGGTGCACCAGACACCACAGCCTCACTTGTAACCCACCCTGAGGCACAAACAAGTTCAACCATTCCAGTTCCGACTGTCTCCCCTAGTGTGCCAGGGCTGGTGACTTCACTGGTCACTCTTTCTGGGGCAGAAACCAGTACATTTCCAACTCTGAATGCTACCCCAGGCCAACTGGAGACCACAGCCTCACGGGTCACTCATCCTGGAATGGAAGCCAGCTCTGTTGTGACTTCTTTGACTGTCTCCCCTGGTGAGCCAGATACAACAGTTTCCTTGGCTACCCATCCTACAGAGAATAGCCCAACCGTTGCCAGGACAACCCAAAGTTTTTCCCATAGTAAATCATACACCACACTTTCAACAGCCACCAGTCCAGGGGCAGGATTTAGTTCAGCTATTTCAACAGCCACTTCAGCTGGTACACCAGGCATGCCAACCCCACTGGTCACTAGACCTGGGGCAGACACCAGTACAACTTTTCCAACACTGATAGTGTCCCCACATGAACCAGAGACAATGGTCTCATGGGCCACTCATCCTGAAAAGACCAGTCAAATGGTCCCCAGGACAACCCCCCATAGTGACTCAGCCACCACAGCCTCAGTGGCCACCATCCCTGGAGCAGAGACTGGTTCAGCTGTTCCAACGCTAACTATCTCGCCTGATGTACCAGGCATGGTGACCTCGCTGGTCACTGGTTCTGAGACAGAGGCCAGTACAACTTTCTCAATGTTGCCTGGGCACCCAGGTGAACCAGGGGCAACAGCTTCCTGGGTCACTCAGTCCTGGATAGAAGCCAGTTCAGCTGTTCCGACTCTGACTCTTCCTTCTAGTGAGTCCGATACAAAAGCCTGGTGGGTGACCCACTCTACAGAGATTAGCACATCTGTGCCCAGAACCACCTCAAAATTTTCCCATAGTGAACCAGACACCCGGTCTTCAACGGCTACCAGTGCCAGGGCAGAAGCCAGTTCCGCCATTCCAACAGCAGTGATCCCACCTGCTACACCAGATGTGCTGACCTCACTGATCACTAGCTCTGGGACAGACACAAGCACATTTCCAGCACTGCCTGAGTCCCCACATAAAACAGAGACAACAGCCTCATGGGTCACTTACCCTGCAGAGAGCAGCACAACGGTTTCCAGGACAACCCTCAGTTTTTCCCAGAGTGGATCAGACACTACACCCTCAATGGCCACCACTTCGACTGTTTCAACTACAACTGTCTCACCTGGTGTAGCAGATCTGGTGACTTCACAGGTCACTGCCTCTGGGATTGATACTAGTACAACTTTTCCAACAAGGACTGAGTCCCCGCATGAACCAGGGACAACAGCTTCTAGGGTCACACATCCTGCAGTGACCAGCACAGCAGTTCCCAAGACAACCACTAATTTTTTCTATAGTGAATCGGACACCATAACCTCAATGGCCACCAGTTCAACTGTTTCAACTATGACTCTCTCGCCTGGTGTACCAGACATGGTGGCCTCACAGGTCACGAGCTCTGGGACACACACCAATATGGCTCTTCCAACTCTGACTGTTTCTCCTGGTAAAAAAGAGACCACAGCCTCTTTGGTTACCCATCCTGGGACACAGACTGGTTCTTCTGTTCCAACTCCAGCTGTTTCCTCTGGTGAACTAGACACAACAACCTCTCTGGTCACCCATCCTGCACAGACCAGCACCCCTGTTTTTAGAACAACCCCCAGTTTTTCCCACAGCAAACCAGATATCACACCTTCAACAGCCACCAGTCCTGGGGCAGAAGGCAGTTCAGTTGTGCTAACAAGGACTCTGTCACCTGGTGTACCAGACATGGTGACCTCACAGGTCACGAGCTCTGGGACACACACCAATATAGTTCTTCCAACTCTGACTGTTTCTCCTGGTAAACTAGATATCACAGCCTCATTGGTTACCCATCCTGGGACACAGGCCGGTTCTTCTGTTCCAACTCCAACTGTTTCCTCTGGTGAACCAGACACAACAACCTCTCGGTCACCCATCCTGCACAGACCAGCACCCCTGTTTCCAGAACAACCCCCAGTTTTTCCCACAGTAAACCAGATATCACACCTTCAACAGCCACCAGTCCTGGGGCAGAAGGCAGTTCAGCTGTGCTAACAAGGACTCTCTCACCTAGTATACCAGACATGGTGACCTCACAGGTCACGAGTTCTGGGACACACACCAATATGGCTCTTCCAACTCTGACTGTTTCTCCTGGTAAACTAGAGACCACAGCCTCATTGGTTACCCAACCTGGGACACAGATCGGTTCTGCTGTTCCAACTCCAACTGTTTCCTCTGGTGAACCAGACACAACAACCTCTCCGATCACCCATCCTGCACAGACCAGCACCCCTGTTTCCAGAACAATCCCCAGTTTTTCCCACAGTAAACCAGATATCACACCTTCAACAGCCACCAGTCCTGGGGCAGAAGGCAGTTCAGCTGTGCTAACAAGGACTCTTTCACCTAGTATACAGAACATTGGTGACCTCACAGGTCACGAGTTCTGGGACACACACCAATATGGTTCTTCCAACTCTGACTGTTTCTCCTGGTAAAAAAGAGACCACAGCCTCATTGGTTACCCATCCTGGGATACAGACTGGTTCTGCTGTTCCAACTCCAACTGTTTCCTCTGGTGAACCCAACACAACAACCTCTCAGGTCACCCATCCTGCACAGACCAGCACCCCTGTTTCCAGAACAACCCTCAGTTTTTCCCACAGTAAACCAGATACCACACCTTCAACAGCCACCAGTCCTGGGGCAGAAGGCAGTTCACCTATGCCAGCAATGACTCTCTCACCTGGTGTACCAGACATGGTGACCTCACAGGTCACGAGTTCTAGGGCAGCGACCAGTACAGCTATTCCAACTCTGACTCTTTCTCCTGGTGAACCAAAAACCACAACCTTATTGGTCACCCACCTCAGTGTAGACACAAGCACAAAACTTCCAGCTTCGACTGACTTTCCTCATGTGTTGGAGACCACAGCCTCGCTCTCTACCCATGCTGGGACAGACGCCAGCACGACCATTCCAACTTCAACTTTGTCCCCTGATCTACTGGAGACCACAGGCTTATTGGCCACCAGCTCTTTGGCGGAAGCCAGCACAGACATTCCAGCTCTGACAGTTTCCCCTGGTGTCCCTGGGCTTGCTGGTGCCCCCACGACAACGGGTAGGCTTAGTACTGTAACTTTTTGGAGCACAGAAACCTCACCACCCATAACTTCAGTTGGACTCCCAGAATTTTCCACAGCTGTCACAGGTACCACTATGACCTCGACACTATCAGAAACCCCAATGCCACCTAAAACCAGTCACGGAGAAGGAGTTAGTCCAACCACTATCCTGAAAACAACAATGGTGGAGACCACTAATCTACCTGCCGCAAGTTCAAACCCCACCATGGCTGAGACCACAACTGCCTTCAGTACACCAGCTGGAAGTCCTTTTGCCACTCTGACCACGCCTGGGATGTCTACGTCGGCCTCTGAGAGCGTGACTTCAGGAACAAGTAAGAATAACTTATGTATGTATGTATGTATGTATATATGTATGTATGTATGTATGTATGTATGTATGTATGTAATTTGAGGTAGAGTCTCGTTCTGTCACCCCGGGTAGAATGCAGTGGGGTCATCATAGTTTACTGCAACCTCAAACTCCTGGGCTCAAGCAATCCTCCTGCCTCAGCCTCCCGAGTAGCTGGGACTACAGGTGCCCAATACCACACCCAGCTAAATTTCCTATTTTTGGTAGAGATGGAGTCTCAACTCTTGCTCAGGCTGGTCCCCAACACCTGAGCTCAAGTGATCCTCCCACTTCCGCCTCCCAGAGTGCTAGGATTATAGATGTGAGCCATTGTGCCCAACTGAATAACTTTTTAATTGTGGTAAAAATAGATATAATATAAAATTTGCCATTTTAACCATTTTAGGTATATAATTTGGCAGCATTAATGACATTCCCACTTTTGTGCAACCACCATCACTATCTTTCTCCAAAACTCTCTTTTACCATCCCAAACAGAAATTCTGTAGCCATTGAGCAAAAATTCCCCATTCCCCTAGACCTTGGTGACCTTTAATCTATTTACTGCATCTATGAATTTGCCTGTTGTAGCTATTTCATATGAGCAGAATCATACCTTATTTGTCCATTTGTATCTGGCTTATTTCAATTAACATAATATTTTCAAGGTTCATCCATGTTGTAGAATCTATCAGAACTTCCTTCCTTTTTATGGATGAATAATATTCTGTTGTGCAGATATGCCCACATTTTATCTATTCATTCATCCACGGGTGGACGTTTGGGCGACTTCCACCTCTTGACTGTTGTGAATAATCTTGCGATGAACATCGTGGTGCAAATAAGTGTTTGGGAACCTCTTTTCAGTTCTTGTGGGTATGTGCTTAGGAAAGGAATTGCTGGCTCATATTGATGCAATGAGTTTGCTAGGGCTGCTACAACGAAATACCACACACTGGGTGGCTTAAGCAACAGAAATTTGCGGTCCCACAGTTTGGGGGACTGGAGGAGAACCCTGGGAAAATGCAGACAGTGTGCACCTTGGAGACATCCACCAGAGGGGTGAGGGGGTGTTTATCCACCAAATTCCATCAGCCACGGCTGGAGGGCTGCTCTCCGGGCCTGTTAATTCCCCCAAGAAGAAGAGATGTAGCCCCTGGTGTGTGTTAGAATAGTAAGAATCAAGGGGATATGGGAGTGCCCAGACGCTTATCCTAGTGTGCCCAGGGCCCCTTCTCACTTTTATTTTTTTATTTTATTTTTTTTTTTTTTGAGACAGAGTCTCGCTTTGTTGCCCAGGCTAGAGTGAGTGCCGTGGCGTCCTAGCTCACAGCAACCTCAAACTCCTGGGCTCGAGTGATCCTTCTGCCTCAGCCTCCCAGGTAGCTGGGACTACAGGCATGCGCCACCATGCCCGGCTAATTTTTTATATATATATCAGTTGGCCAA